TCTTTCTGGTTAGGTCTTGTTCACAAGTGATGGTAGGTTTGAGTCGGAGATGGCCAGATGGAATGGGGCTTCATCATTTGTAATGAAGGCAATGCTTTAGTCTGCTTTCATGGAAAGGGAGATGAGGTGGAAGGCAAAGCTCAAAATGTTTTGCGGCCTTTCAGAGTTTGTATGTGCTGCGAAAGCAGGAGGATGATGTACTGGTCCCACACTAGCACTGTATGCGTAATTTATATTTCCATAGCATAGGTCCAGGACACTGTCTGCCTGGTAGGAACTTCAAAAAACTGTTTGAGGTGTTAAAGTCCCCAAGAATAAATGGCGGAGCATCTGGATAATTAGCCAACTGACCGTTGGCGTTGAAAGAGGCTACTTCTTTTGCGTTCCTGCTGTTGGCACTAAATGAAGGTGAACACCAAAGTTGGGAACTCGTGGGAGTTTGAAAGGACAGAGGGAGGGGGACAGCATCTCTATATCAGGTGTGAACACTTTCTCTTGTGTTTTGATGTTGTTACATCATCGGTCGTTGATGTAAACACAGATCCCACCGCCTCTCTCCTTGCTGGAGTCCCTTGTCCTGTCTGAATTTATTCCCCATCTAGCCTAGAAACTCTTGTTGATCCCCCGGGGGGAGCTGGGGAGTGCCGCTGAATAGGGGAACCTGTTACCTTTGTGACACAACCTCAGATAAGTGGTAGAAGAGGAAGGATAGATAGTCTAGCAAATGATAAGTGGATTGTTACCAAAAACCTTTAATGTCTTTTTCTGCCTTTGTTCATAATTCTCAGTCGTTACTAAGTTCTAGTTCAACACTGGAAAAAGGAGTTCACCAAATTCATGAAAATTCTGTTTTAGATACCGCCGTGACACCCCTGACTGATAAAGAGGTATACTATTCTCACATTCATTATCAGGATGATAAGGGGGGGAAAAAGAAAGCCATTTCTTATAGATTGAACGGTTGTCATTAAATTATTATATACCACATGGATGAGTCACCCTCTGAGCTGTGGAAAATGCTTATGTCCTGCTTCACACAAAGCCCTCTAGCTGTTCTTCAAGTGAGTGTTCTCAGCCAGACACAGCTCTGCCAAATAAGTAGGTGATGTGTCATTATGCACAGTGGGGACCAGGCCATCCACGGCATGCCTAGCATATTGTGACACTGATTTGAAGGAAATAACAGGCTTGTCGCTTGGCTACTTAAATGGACCTTTCAATTTTCTATCCTCAATTATGTACGAACTATGCGTTTAAACACCCGCTTTCACAGTGACAAAACAGCCTCTTTTGCATCATTCCCTCCGATAGCTAATTGATGCCATCCAGAGATTATTTGTTTTATCATGGCTTGCAAGGGGATGGCGCTTATGAAAGATTTGAAAAAACAGAAAGCCTGGGTTGCCACAGAAACCTCACCTCGTGCGGCTGGTGGGTTTTAATAATCTGTTTTGATATTAAAATGTGATTGATTGAAATAATAGAGAGCAGGTCCTGTACACCATGGGTACCCAACCACAAGGGTACAGGAAGCCCCTCAACCACAAGGAATCCAACCTGTGCCGTAATTAGTCTGCTAATTTAAGAAGAAAAACAAAGGACAATAAGCCCAACAACAAATGCAAATTAAATCAGTGTTGGTACATACATTACATTTTAGGGCAGGCAAATCCCTCCAAAGGGGGAGGAGATTTAGGGAACAATATCAGCCAACAAAGACAAGTTCAATAAAAAAGCAAACTGCTCTTTCTAACTTTTTAGTTCACTACACATTGACTTTCTTACTCCATCATAACACTGCTTCATCCATCTGACCACTGTGTAACATCTGATAGCATACGTCAGCTAACTGAGACTTAAATATAAATTGGTATATTCAATAACATCCCTTTTTGTCACTGATTGCAAAGAGTATGACAGAAGTAACAAGGCTTGTGAGGCTGATATTTTATTCGGCAAAAGGGCAAAACATTTTCAATTTGATTACTCATAAACATCATCTGCACATTGAAAACAGAAGCGAACCCTGATGGTGATATATTTTTGTGATTTCTTTTTCTGGGAAACATGCCAGCTCCTTCAATCAAAGAGGCGTGAAGGGTGTGGGAAGCAGCTTTAAACACTGCTAAATAAAAAAAATAAAAAAGCAAGAGGCACCAAATGCCTCACAAAGTGTGATCAATGCGAGAAAACCAATGTAATGACGATTAGGATCAACCATACACAACTTGCCTTATACAGTGTCGTAATCAATACCTCAAGTGTAAGGGTAGGAATTATATTTGAACTTACACTTATTAAAGATATGTTTCCTGTCCTTGCTTTCATCTGACTACCTTTAATTTGCTAGTCAGTTCATGCCGAGAAGTCTTGATAAATTTATCTTATCTGAGAAAAGAATTTGTGAATTTAGTGAGATACATTTTTGATTCAAAGGGGTGTTATTGATATAGTTTCTGAGATATTTTACGATTGACAAGATTCATTTTTAAATGGCCCCTTAAAGCAGTGCATGGAGGCTCTTTGTGCTGACAACTATAGGCCCTCGCACACTGTTTTTGCAGTACAACTGACAGTACCTCATTTTTTCGTGATGCCCCTGTTTATTCACCTAAATGGAAAGCTAGCACACCAAGAGAGCTGCTTGCTTTGACAGCAGACTCTTTTCTTCTCCCTGAACACTGCTGCTACTCTTGCCATGCAAAAGGTCAGGGGTCTCATTTGTAAAAGTTATTTTAGGGACAGGAGAAACATGATTCCTCTCAGAAATTGAATTCAACAGCAGTGTTATTTATGCTCGTGTTGTTGTCATAACTATACAGAAGGAGCTCTCACATAAAGAATAAATGGCTAATAAAACAAATCAAAACTTCATCACATTCCTCTGTGGTGATCACCAGCGTGATGCAGACCACAGATGAACAAACAAACTGTGACAAAGTGTGATGAATCTGACTGGCTGCTAAACATTTCAACACTGTTGTGACACTGGTGCGTAATGCTGTGCGATGGATGCTTTAGAGACCTCGTAAACTGGAGATTAAAGAGGGGACCTGTTTTTTAGGGATCATCATAATTTCCAGGCCCATGGCGATGACTGGAAGCTGTCAAATTAGCCAAAACCTAGCCTATAATCAACAGCCACTTTTGGGAATAACATAATTCTGTCAAATGAACAATATGTCCTGGATATGGAAGCCATCGCGAAGTGTAATTGTGGCTTTGGGATGACCACTGGATACCTCAGTTTTCCATAAACTGTGGAAGAACAGCCCAACATAAACAATATCCAGTTTTCTAAATGCAAATGATGCCACTCGCTTCTTTTTGTTTGTCATGGCACAACTTTGGCTACCAAGCAACATCCTTTTTCCATTCTCCACTCACCAGCACACGGATTTCTGCCTCGGTGAGATGGCTTTTCTTTGCTCTCTTCTCTGTGGTTGCTGCTGGTAATCATGAAAGAACATTGATCATCTGGCTCATTTGAATACACGTTGACATTCATGAGGTGCTTTGCATTGACCATTTATGGCTGAAAGTGGGCGTGTAGAGGGCGGAACATGAGACAGAACCTTGACCGCTGATGTTTAAGCAGCTGTGATTTATAAGGGGAAATTACGTGCTGGTCTTGGTACGCTTGGTTTTATAAATTTCTACCTTTTTTTGGCGTACACTATTTCTGGCTTTTGTGTACAATTTTAGTATACATCATACGCAATCTTTTATAAATCGGACCCTAGTTCTTTAGATAAATCAGATGCATTTGTCTTCCAATTATTCAATTATGGCTTAAAAATCTACATGAGAAAAATAAAATAAAAACTACTTATAATTTCTCTGTAGAAAATCAGCCAGTGATTTTTTCTTTATTATGAGCAGACTCACAGCTACTGCTCATATTACAAGATAAGCATCAAATGTATATCACTCTGCAAGATCACGATAAGTATGGGCGCATAATGTCTGTATGTCCTCCATACAGACATGTAGGTAAATCAATACTACAAAGTGCTAAGCGGCAAAGAGCTAATGCACTGGACAACCCCTGGAGACGGTCGAGGTTCATGGGAGTGTCCTGCCAGAGCCAGTCATTGCCTCCTGATAGATCAAATCACCGGGACAAACAGTTTTTCTCTGGCTCAGATTGGTGCTGGCACGGTGCGCACTCTGGCTACGGTTCAGTGTTCTCGGATTTCTATGTGCCACGGGTCCATTACTTCCTAATTACCACAGGGATGAGGGGACAGGATGCATTTAATGATCTGTGCAACCTATCTGCCGCACACAAGGTGGAGGCACACGCAGCTCAGAAGACAGGGAGGAAACGGGAGAAGTGTTAAGCAAGCCAGAAGCCGAGCTACAGGGCCACTTTATCGACACAATTCTTGTTAATTTCTTCATTTGCTTTAGACAGGGAAGCACTTTTCATCAACTGTTAATCAAAATGTGTCAACATCAAGAATTTGACTTTTTAAAATCTTTTTAAATTTCTTTTTAAATTTCTTTTTTTGATTCTCTTTAAAAATTACTCTGAATCTTTGCCAAATTATCCAAGAGAAACAATATCCGCTAAATCTGGAGTCATGTCCTTAATTTAGTTTTTTGTTTCTTTGTTCTTTTTTCATGTTTCAGTCTCTTTGTCTTTTCGTTTCCTGTTTTATTTTGAAATCGAAACTCTCCCCTCGTTTCAGGCCACTTGCTCTTCATAAAGTGCCTCCAATCTGATTGTCTTCCTTGATTCCCGATGATGTCAACCTGTTCCAAATTTCCCTCCGTCTGCACCTCTCTCTTTGTTCTGTGACAGTGTGTTTGCCTCCATCCTAGAATTATGCGGCCATCTTAGCTTTATCACAGCCTTGATTCCACAGCTCGTCTTGTCTTAGTTTTTTTCTTAAGATAGTGAATTTTGGTATGCAATTATTATTTGTAGCCATTGCTAGGTTTTCAT